ACTGCACCAGCTGGTGCTTGGATTTCACAACTCTTGCCTAGTCTAGAACATGAAAAGAAATTAACAAAATCCCACACTGAAGGTGATATGTTAGAAAGAAAAGCCATCATTCATTGGCAATACTGAAGCTATCTCTTCTTTTTACTGCCCTTCCCAGACTTGGAAGGTGTAGCAGTCGAGGTGGATGTGGGTTCCTGTTTCTTAGTCCTCCCGGGGTGTCTCGGAACCAACCCAGCAACATGGACCATCAGCTGTTTCCCTGCAATATAATCTCGATGTTATAACATGGTTCAAAGTCACGGTATCGGCCATCAACTCGGAGGGTGCTGATACACAACGATCGCGGCGACGCGGCATGGTATCGGCCGATACGCTCAAAACGCAAGATAGAAGCTCCATAAAATTTTGAAAAAATTATAGAAATTTCTAAAAAAATAGACATTATCATTTATGCATCATATATCCACAATACATCTAAAAAACATTAAACATAATTAAAATGAAACATAAAATCGCGAGCGAAAATAATTATCATTATCAATGTTCAATGTAGACATTTAGGAACATATTAAACCATAATTATTGCCACATTGAACGACGATGAGGCTCAAAATCGTCGTTATTGTCTCTAGGATAATACAAATTAGGGTATTGTCCACCATAAGAATAAGAGTACAAGTGTGAATACGGGTCTGATTGGGTTGGTTGAGTTGATTGACTAGATGACCCCTAATCGGAGTAGTGTGACTGTGGAGGTTGTACTAGCTGGTTCCCATACTAATAGTACCCAAAATCACGATATTCACGGCCACTACTAGCAGAAGACTGATCATATCCATAAAAGTTGACACTATCCGATGTCGTGTTAGAACATCCATCATGATGTCTCCTTGGAACACGATCATAGTAACCACCAGTACTAGTACTAGTAGATCTCTCAAGATGCGTAGGGCGATGGGCATAATGCCCAGCACTATTAGTACTAGTAGACCTCGGAAGCTGCGAAGGGATACCATATCCATATGATCTATGTGCATAACTAGATTCTATACCAATACTTTGATGATGTCCGTAAGACATGTATCCTTCATATGATGTCAATCCCAAACTCTGCATATGATCATCAATATCTTGTCGATCAAGTGAATGATGGTGACATTTATAGAAATAATCATTACCAATGGAAGAGTTTAAATTTCTCTGTTGTTTCATTGCCCTTGGTCTATATCCATGGTCTGTATCCTGTGTGGTATAGTAATTGTCTTGCCCTGTGCCCATGACATACTGCTAGGTAACTGAGTATCATCACCATCTCCAGTAGTCCTTCTACTACCACTCTTGTTGCTCTCATCATGATTACTAGCATCATCATCATCAGTACTACTACTATCACCATCACCACTACCACCACCATAAGTATCAGCAATATTATCATCATTATCATCATCAGAAGAAGAATCACTAGAACTGACAAAAATTCTCATAGCCTTTTTACCCTTGTTGGTTAGCCTCGTATCTTTTCCAGATCTTCTGGTAGTGGCATAATTGCTAGATGTTAGTGTCGTATTAGTGTCAACTTTATCAACTGCATCGCGTCCACTTCCACCTTCTTCAATGTCACGAATACCTTCATCCAACCAACCTAAGTTATCAGGTGATAAAATTGATTCCTTCATTTCTCTTATCCACTCATCTAATATATCCTCATCATTGAAAATGTAGTTCAGATCAATTGGATTATACAAATCATCATTTTCACACTGATATGTCAAATTTCTAACTCGCAACCGTATATTGTAGTGCACAAAAACTAGCTTATATAGCTTTTTCATTGTCAATCGGTTGAGAAGTTTTGTATGGATCAGCGACCATGTACTCCAATTTCTTTCACACCCTGATGATGAACATGTTTGGCTTAAAACTTTGACTACTTCATTCGAGTAATGTCACCATGAACTATTTTACCACAATAGTTGCACTTTGTAATTTATCGATCACCACAAACAGGTGTTGCGTGTTCCCAACAAATGTCGTGTTGTTTAGGAGTCATTCTACAATGTCACAAATTCCAAATAATTAAATAAGTAACATGCAATTGATTGAAATAGTTTAAATATAAAAAAATGTAATTGTAACATTTAATTTTATATAATTTGAAATGGAACATATATATTTTATATATAATAAAAAAAAAGAACTTATATCCACTCATTTATTATTATAAAATACAATAATTTTAATATTTATGCAATAAATAAGTAATTTAACTATGACAATAATGTAAAAAAGCATGTTTGCCTTGGAGGAGTTGAACCACTGTCCTGCACATGACAATTTGCATCACCACCCAATTGAGCTACTACTTTTATGTTACTTTTAAGGCAAATATAAATATATAAACATTTAGTCAAAAAAAAAAGGGTAGACAGTGTCTTGGGGTTTTGGAGGAGTCGAACCAATGACCTACAACATTACAGTGTGCAAGTCCACCCAATTAAGCTACTACATTTATATTATGTTAAGACAAATATAAATATATAAATATTTAATAACTAAATAAAAAATAGACTACATGTTGGAGTCGAACCAGGGACCTTGCAACAGCTCAATTTGTAACACCACCCAATTGAGCTACTATTTTTATGTTACTTTTAAGGCAAATATAAATATATAAACATTCAGTAAAAAAAAAAGGGCAAGGGTCTTGGAGGAGTCGAACCAGTGACCTACAACTTTACAATGTGCAAATCCACTCAATTGAGCTACTACGTTTATGTTATGTTAAGACAAATATAAATATATAAACACTTAATTAAAAAAAAACAGCCTGCCTGTTGGAGTCGAACCAGGGACCTTGCAACAGCTCAATTTGCAACACCACCCAATTGCGCTACTATTTTTACGTTACATTTAGGACAAATATAAATATAAAAACACTCAATCCAAAAAAAAAAATCAAACAGCTTTTAAAGAGTTTTTTTTTCCTACCTACTTTTACGTTCTTCGTCTTTCTCACTTCCCAGAGGCTCATGATAACAGAGTGCAGACAGAGAGATGCAGAGTGCAATTCCTCACCGATATAGACCGAAGAAGATCATCTCAACAAATAATCGACGAAGATCCTTTCAACAAAGAATTGAACAAGAATAACAAAGAATCGAAGAAGATCCTTTCAACAAAAAATTGAACAAGAATAACAAAGAATCGAACAAGGTTGTCACACAAGACCAGATGAAGAAGATGTTTCAGGGTTCGATCTACAAGTATGTTAGTAATCTTGGTTTTTTATAGGGATTTGCTGCCTTAGGGTTCATGTGATTTCTGCAATTTTCACATGGGTGTCGAGTCTTTCAACGGGTAGTCTGGTAGTAGATCTGCTTTATTTCCCATCCCTTTTTTTTTTTTGGATTTTTGTTCATTTTTCAAAAAAATGAAGGAGTGTTAATAAGTTTTTGCAGAGGTGTGGGTCAGATTTGGGAATTTTTCCACTGTCGTGTTCGACTCGGAAAGATTCTGAGTCGAGTCGCCCGAGTTGAACCGAGTTTTCACCGACACCTTTGATTTCGGCCGAGACGTCCAAGATATCGCCGAAATATCGCTGATACAAGTTAAATTCGTCAATCTTTCGATTCGTGTATTGTTATCGTATCGTCAATGGCCGAGTCGTATACGACTCGGCTGAGTCGTACCGGACTACTTTGAACCCTGTGTTATAAAGCCATGGGGAAAAAGTATAGAATTCACCTATTAGGAAATACAATAACAACCAAAACACTAGGACATGGAAAAGACATGAATGATTAGCATACTTTCGGTAGATGATGTGCTGAGCCAAACATCACATACAATTGGGAATCACATTTTCTTCTAAAAAACCACGACCCATTGAATCTTTCAAAAGTGTGAATCCATTGCTTAGGAATTAGTATGCAGTGCGTGGGAATGTAGCGCTGTCTAGTGGATCCCAACCTAATTATTTTTTATTTATTTGTTTTTTTTGGGAAGAAGGGGGGAGAGGGAGTGGGGACTTGAACCATTGACCTGAAGAAGGCAAAACTTTCATAAAGTGAGAAGTATCATTGGACCAAAGGCTCGTTAGTTCCAACCTAGTTATTGATCCATCAATCCCAAGCTAAATGGTTTTATGGTTCAAGTAGGTAGTATTGGTGCAAAACAACAGTCAACAGTAGTTGAGTAGAACAATTCTTCCATGTGCAAAGCTCAAGAAAGACAAGCATCAAAAAGAATCCTGGTTCGTGCATAGGCTGAGGGCAATCTAAGGATGACAAAGGAGAATGAGTTTTATGCACAATGGACCTTAACAAAGGCCCATCTTAGCCAAACAAAGGATGGTTGGTAAAAAATGACACTAAATGGAATCTCCAAGTCTTGAAGAAATGCTCAGAATCATCATGCAGATGAGTATTTCAACAACTGTGATCACATTGAATCTTGAATTTCTGATTTGTCATGCTCAATAAAATACATGAACACCTAGGTGTGATCCTTGCAATTGATCATAGATATTTCTAAAACAAAATTTAGGACTCAAAATACCACCCAGGAGCAAGAACTAAAATAATCACATTAAAAAACTCTCTTATCTTCGTTGTGGCCAGAAATATGAATACATCAGTTAGTAATTGACATAACCGTAGTTAGTTTACCCGTAAATCTAGAATTAGTACATTGCGTTTGAGCCCTATGTGCTAGTTCTCTCCTTCAAAACACACACACACACACAAAGTAAATCTCATGCAAAGATCATTATAGGGGCACTGCCATGCAAGTACTCAAAAGGCATTGGCAAAGATCAAATATCTCGAGCCGGCTTTTGGAACTCAAAAAAAAAAAAAGTAATTCAAACATTATCACCCACCAAATTTCCTCCTTTCAAAGTATATGATAGTAGTTACATTTCCTTAACAACCAAGTTAGGGTGATCTAGTCTCTTAAGAGAACAACACATTCCAACAAAGGAACTGAAAACTAAGAACATAAGAAAAAACCTAAGGAAATGAAGAAGACTGCTTACTAGAAGATATAGCCAGATTGCACATTCCACAGAGTCCCATCTTCCTTTTTAGCAAAACCCTCACCCTCCCTCTTTGCATAAAATCACGCGGATATGCCTTATCAATCTAACAAAGATCCATAAACACATTATCAAACATGAGAGCAAATTCCCGACCAATAGTCCCCTAAACTGATTGCAATTAACCACATAAAGAAGAATAAAAAATTGGGAAATGAAACATCAATTAATCACTACAAAAAAACGAATAACAATTCAAATAACATTGATAAATCAAACCTCAATAGCAAAAGGGAGTTTGAGGTAGCTACAACAATCACCAATCTCAACGCAAGTAGGGTTTTCACACGCTTTGCTAGAATTTTTCCGCCGACCCTCAACGATCATTTTCTTTGAATTTATGTAAATTGGGTAGAACACAATCCACTTCTTTATATTAGGTATATCCCCATCCATGTTTCCTATCAAATCAAAATGATAGGATTCGAAACCATCACTCAAAACAAAAACCCTCAACTCATCTAAAAGAAAGTTTAGATTTACAATAAAACTTTGAAAAAAAAAATAAAAAATCACATAGGCTGAAAAATAAGCAAAATTAAAACAGATCTAATGTGACTGCGGGTGAGAGAATTAGAATGTACCTTGAGTTGAGGAGAGAGAAACCTCAACCAAAAAAAATTCCAAAGAACTTTGTTGTGCACGGACTAGACCAGACAAGTTATATTGTTTCCATATTCCCTGGTTATGGTAGGAGGGCCAATGGGCCGAGCTCGTGTTTGTATTGGTCTGGGCCATAGAAGATGATAATAGCATAACTATGAGTAGGGGCCCATACCAATACGGCGACTACAGTCACGTATTTATGGGTTGGGCCCTAACCATCCGCAACAAAGGCTTAGATTGCGTTTGGTAACGTTTTCGTTTTCATTTAAAAAAAAAAATCAACTTTTATTTTATTTTATTTTTTGCGGTTAAAAGTTAAAATAAGAAGCGTGATGCAATTGTTGTTTTAAGAAATCTAAAAACTAAAACAAAAGACATGTTTGGTAACCAATTTATTTTATGGCATATATTTAACTTTATATTAATTCATGCTAAAGCACAATCACATTTTTATATCAATACATTCATCAACCCATAAAAAATGCAAAATACATCAAAACATTCAAACTTATAACAGCCTCTCAAATACCAACTAATTACATTAAGCATAAAACCAACTAAAATGTCTACTCTACACCATATGTATGAAATACAATCAATAAGTTCATAGAATAATGAATGATATAACCATTTAACATAAACAAATTGAGCATTCATTCAAATAGAGTATTCTTTTACATGTTCACCAGAATAATGCATATAAAAAGCCTACAAGCATACAACGTCAAATGAAAAGCTTCCAACCCAATAGATAAATAGAAATATTTTTTTTTTTTAATTTTTTATTGGGGAGAAGGAGGGGGTGGGGGAAAGAGGGTTTGAACCCTGACCTCAAGAAGACAAAGTCTTCACAAGGTAAGGAATACCATTGGACTAAAGACCCATTGATAAATAGAAATTAATTTGTGTCTCCAGTCTAGTATGCAATATCCCAAATAAGCCAAATAATCCCAAAGCCTCCCGTATGCAATATCCGAAATTATCATAATAATCCTAATTCTACTGTTATATGCAATAGACCCACCCACCCAGAAAACTATAGACCCTAATTGAAGGTGGCATTTATTCAAACACCTGCATGTATTTGTTAAGTGTAGAAAGCCATCAACAAATCACATTTACCCACACATAAACACACACACAATACAACAGTGACTTAGCCACAACACAGATGCACACAACCAACACACACACACTGTGAACCAGCAAGACAGACAACACACACACAGAGACAAAACAAACACAACACACACACAGAGAGACCCAGCCACACAGACGCACACACAACACTGAACACAAACATCTGAAATGGAGATGAAAAAAATCCCTAAATCCTAAACCCTAGCTCCGAAATTGAAATAAAAAATCTCTAGATCAGAAAATTGAAAAAAAAAAAACCTATATCTAAAATTAAAATACATGGATACATATATGTATAAATCTATACATAAAAAGGTTAGATATATACATAAATAGGTCAAATCTATGCATATGTATACATATATATGTGTATAGATCTTCAAAAATGAAAATAAATATTACCTTTTCGAAGTTAGAGAGAAACGCCAGAGAACAGAGGAGCGCTGGAGAGGAGACCAACCTACTCCAGCTGGAGATGGTCTTTGCTTAAACAGGCGAGAGATAACAGAACAATAGCTTCACTTCAGACGACGAGAGAGAGAAACGAGAGGATAAGAATGAGAAATTTTCGTAGTTTATATACTCAGGAAAATATTCTCTTAAATTGCTTCTAATAAGGTTCGATGGCAAGACCTCATTTAACCCTTCCCCCTTCCAGCGCGTGTTTTCGTTTTTCCCTGTTTTTGAATGCACCTCTCTCTATTCATGTTTTCAATATTTGGGGTTATTTACAAAACGAGTTGGCCAAAAAAAAAAATTTAAAAATACACTCTTAACACATTTTTATTTTTATTTTCAGGAAAAAGTAAAAACAAAAATAGAAAAAAACACAAACATTGTGTTACCAAATACAGCCTAAATTAACTCTAGCTATCCTCTGAATACACGAAGAGACCACCAAATTTAAGAGTTGTGATAAGTTTACTTATTTTAATTTGTGTCTATACATATCTACCTAGTTTTTTTTTCTTTTGGGAGGGAGGGAGGGAGGGAGGGGAGGGGAGGGGGAATTGATCTATTGACCTTAAAAAGACAAAATTTTTATAAAATAAAGAGTATCATTGAACAAAAAATCTTTTGGTGAAAATAAACAACCACTAACTAGTAATTGATGTTCATCTAGCTAAATCATCTAAAAAAAGTTTCTACAAAATAAACAAATAAGTCAAAAACTTCAAAGTCAACCACCCTAAAACAATCATTATAAATTTGGAAACCTGAGACAACTACATAAATGAGATTTTGATACCTGATAACATTGAAGATAATTGATTAGTGACTGCTTCAAACCAGAAATATATTTCAAAGAAAATGCGTATCTTAAATATGTTCTGGGAGCCAACTTTGTACTCAGAGTTCCCCAAGTGCATTGGCAAGCCCAGAGTAACTCTAATTTTGTAGAATAAACCTCTAACATGACATGATACTTCGAGGTTCATCGTTCACTCGTAAAACATATATCTTTTATTTTTTTCAGAAATATAATGTTTTAGAAACCACTGTGTCAGTGTTTTGGCACAAACTACTGAAACAATCCCCAATAGTGACTAATAGACACCCATAGTTTTAATTTATATATATATATATATATATATATATATATATATATATAGTTTTAAGTTAGGACCCTGTAAGCTCAACATATTAAAGCTTACTAAATGTAACAAATATAAAAGATTTTAAAAGTATAAAGGCAAGGAGATTGTAACAAATATAAAGTTTTTTACTACTATGTAGATCTTTGGATGGAACGAAATGCAAGGATTTTTGAGGATAAAGGCGAGGAGTTTGAAGGGATATGAGAAAGATTGTATTCTTTGGCTTCTTTTTCGGCCTCTGTGACTAAAAAGTTTGAGAATATTCCTCTCTTTTGTATTACTGCTAGCTAGAAAGATTCATGTAGATTATAGCTTGCTTTTCTTGACGTTTCTATTAATCGATCATTATGTTGGACGACCTATCCACCTTTGATTAGGTTATCACCTTTGTATTGCCTTTTTGGCCTTTTTTATCAATAAAGTCTTGTTTCTTATCAACAAAAGAAAGTAAACAAAGATAATTGTTTTCGGAAGACTCCTGATTACATGTCTTACATGTAAGTAATTATCAGGGTCAGGCCTATTCCCAGCAATTTATGTTACTAGTATACTGCACTTAGTGGAGCATATCAACAAATTACTGGCCATGTAAAGGCAACTGCCGTCCCAGGGTAAGAGGTGGCGTAAAGGCTTGTTTGACAGTACTTTCTTACTTCATTTGATATTGTCAAACTGGAGCTTCTAACCTTTGAGTCATTATCTTTCCATCAAGAAGCATTGTCTCGAGGTTCTCCCACACATCCAAGTCAATACACTTACAGATGGAAAGATCAGTAGTACCATATAAAAAGGCCAAACCAGAGAATAAAGGAAAGCACAAGAAAAACCTCTATTATGATGTATTGCTTACAAAAAAAAAAGGCAGAGGGATGAAGAAGCTACATCATGATTAGCTATGGAAAATTCAGAATGCTTCTCTCATGGACACAAGGGTTAAAAGTGAAAAACCATTCACAATTTGCTATATCAACGTCTTCACTTACATTTATATGCCAAGATTCGGTAAGTTTGATAGCAGAGAAAATATAAACCACACATAAAAGGGGAAAATAAATCAAAAAGGCCAAAATTATAGGAATTTTAGAGCTCCAACAATGCTTGTCATAGCACGTGGCAGGTGACTTACCATCTCGCAAGGGCTTCTTTGCAGGGACTCTTTTACTAAATTTGATTTTGTTGGTCCCATAGCTTCTAAAGTTTGAATCCACATGTTTTAACGGAGAGGCATTCTTCTAAGACTCTCCTAAAACATCCGAGTCAAAACATTCACAGAAGGTAAGTTCAGGAGCCTATGAAAGGAACAAATAAGATGATACGAGAACAAAAGAAGCACCCACAAACTTAAACACATACCTTGATGATGTAACAAAGATATTGGAGAAGCCACTCAGCAATTTTTACAGAAAATGAGAATAGATGACAGCAAAAAAATGCCTCTTAGAGCAGAACTTTGCCTTTATGACTCCTCCGTGGCTCACCAACCTCCACCAAGTAATTTGAAAGTTTTAATGCACTTCCAGTAGTCACATCTTCTGATAACTTGAGGAATTTATGGCTCAAAACGGTCCCATCTTCAGTCAATAGAGTAACCTGATAGTTATAGAATCAGCCGATACAACAGAAAAGTGACAAAGTCACAAAACTGGAAGAACTTCACAGCAGGAGCTGAAATTTAACTGCAATAAAAAGTATGGAGGTTGTAGGGAGCATTCAAAAAGAACATGATCTCTAATCCCATTTCATTGTTTGTAAAAATATTTATGAACTTTAGAACTTTCAGGAACAGATATGCTTGCTGGTGATTAGAAAATCAGTCTCTCACCTTTATGTCAATTCCCTGCAGTTTTAGTGGAGTTACTCCATGTAAATCATGAATTGCTTGATAGTGTTGCTGAGTTATTAACCAGACATCTTACTAAGTCCTTTCCTGTTAACACGGTATATATGGAAAGGAGGGGATTCCAGCATAAAATCTCCAGGATACAAAGGCCAAGTGACAAATCCACGTACCGAGGAATATACCACAAATGTAGTTCTACATCACATTCCAAGCACTTATCAAACTCAAAAGGCTGGTGGAAAAAGTTTCATACTAAGGGCAGGTATATAGATATATTAGAATTGATATAACTGTAATAAATGCCAAAGATCAGGCATCTATTATGTATGGAAAAATACAGTGGAGGCCTCTTCCCAAATACTAAGAAGCCAGAATGAACTTGCAAAAGAGCCAACTTAAAACCTAAATGAAATAGCTTCTCCAAGAAAGGTAATAGATCAATTTTGCTACTTGAAACTGACAGAGAGCCTCTGATTTAGGCACTTGACGAAAGACCTAAATGTTTTATCAAGTTTTTGGGAACTTATAACTTGGAAGCAATAGTGTTTCATAGCATATACAATTCATATGAATTTGTTGGTACTACTATGTACTAATTACACCAGACTGTAGAGTCATTCAGAAGCAACCAGCTTAACAATAGCAGGTACAACAAATAAATTATAGATATAAGCTCTTCAAAGCATGCCTCTACTATTCACAAATGAAGTTCATGGTATTTGGTGCTGGCATTCTAAAAAACTTCAAATAAATCAACTGAGTCATTACCAGATTACGCACAAACATGACTGACATAATCATTTAAGCAGGGAGCAGAATGAACATAAAAACTGACCTGCTTTTGGTAGGAACCACAAAGTGAAAGTCCAAGGATACCGTCATGGTACTTCTTGTTTTTCTGAGTTATATGGCTAGAGTACATAGCCTCCCACTCTGCATTGTAGAAGGGGTGAAAAAGTTAACAGGGGGATAAGTCTCAGAAGATGAGTGAACGACATCTTTATAAGCTCTACAAAGAAAGGTAATACCAATGTCTCCTCTATGTTTTCTTGTTTGGGCTACACTTAAAAAAACTGGAAGTTGGAACTATCTTAGACTCAGATAGAGAACACAAATTGTGCTTGAAGTTCATGCATGTTAGGGAAACAAAGAGCTAAGAGTGTTCCATGCAAGTTCCAACCAACTTGGAAGGTGGACTCTAATCTAAAACCAGATCATATTCTTCCACACAATTTTTAATTTTTTTCTATAGAAAAGGTGCATTATTATGTTTCTTGTGTGAGTCAACAATACTAGTTCGTAACTGGAATTGCTATACAAATTATATGAAATGATGGCACCATCTTCGGAATAGTTACTGCGTAAACCAAAAGAAGGCATATGCCCATGCAAGACGTAAGGAAGAGAGAGCATTTGACACAAACTTAAGACAATACTGATCAGTCCCAAATAATAACTTCAGATAGAAACATACCAACAGGAGAGCCATTGTGGGTCTCAACTTCTTGTTCGTGCGGTGTTCCTCTATTTCCAACTACCTTGAAGTTTTTTTTCTGGAGCTTTCAAGTCCATTGGAGATTTATGGTCACATTCAATCTCTCCAATGTCCACCAAGTGAGCATCAAATGCTAATGATTCACCAGATATGATTATTTCATCCATTTTCAGAAATCCGCTATCTAAGAGCGTCCTGGTTGCATCATACAGCATGATCTGAACAGTAATACAGAAAAAGGAATTTGAGGATCAATGTGTTTTTTTATTAAGTATTAATGATCACAACAACAGTAAGAAATGAGTCAACAAAAAAAATGTTCAAACTTCACTAGGTAATAACATCTCTACTGACTAGGGTGGCAGAGGAAAAAAAATGTGTTCATTGCATGCAACAATCACCATAATGCCATTGGTGGTACTGAAGGGCCTGACAACGTGGCTACCAACAACCCATGCAAACATGTCATACCTGATAATCCCCTGAAACATTCTCCCTGAAAGTTCTAAATTTTATGGAAAATAACTCAAGTGCCCAAAACTAGCTCCAAAGGTTTAGCAGTTCGCTATAGACCTCCAAAAAAAAAAAATAAGGACAGAAAGTAATAGGGGGCAGGGGGGTCTGTAATGCCCGGAATCAAGAATAGTCTAATAAGTGGTCAATAACCTTTACTTTTATAACCACTTTCCTCTTTTACCTAAATTAATCTCTCTAATTTATGAAGTCCAAATACATCTTCTTATTGTGAAAACAGGAATGGCCATCTCACTACATAAGATGTTTTGATTTACAAGTACCCTAAATTTTACCCGTTCCAAAATTTAAAAATTAATGTCAAATTGTATGTCTCTTCTCATGTTCTCTGCTTCCTAACCACTACTTATGCCAACAGTGTCCCCAATTCTCTCTCTCTCTCTCTCACACACACACACATCCCAACTTTCGCTCTCTTGGTGAAATTTCAAAAAAGAGTAATATCAATAAACATTAAATTTAAAGGACAAATAGAATTTGTGGAAATCAACCTGCCTCCCTGACGATCCACAACTTGCAAGCCTTAGGACACCATCGCGAAACTTCTTGGCCTTCTGAGTTATTTGTTTTGTGTACAACACCTGCCATTCTAAAGTGGAAATGATAAATGTTAACCGTGAAAGGAAAAGAAAATTGCAGTAAAAACTGAAATATATCCCAAGGAAAACATGGAAGTCAGGCTTGTGAGAAATCACTAACTAGATAGTGTCAACCTGACAATTGATCAGGCCTAATAACAGTGGTTAGTTTAAGAATTCAGAATGGTTTGATGTTTTGTTGAACAATTGAGTGGAACAAACCATAAACTAAATGATTACTAGTTTACTACCCCCATCCATTTTAAAAGAATAGAAAAGCAAAGAAAAAGTGGGAATTTAAGATAAAGTTAGATTTTGAACGCAAAACTGCATTCTGAAACTAACCTATTATGCTAGTTTTTGTCGTATCAGGACAGCTTGGTGGTGCACCATACTTGACCAGTTCACTCTTCTTGAACTCTATAATTTTCAAAATAATACCATTATCCTTGTCAATAAGATCATTGAGAGAACTTGCCGGCGGTAAAAAGAGTTATGCACTAGAACTAAGACTTCCTTGAGAGAGACAGTAACATGAAAACAAACAATTCTACCACAAATTAAGAGGAATAAGCTCTGTATGGGCACACTGATAAGACTCACATACAGAACACACTTAGGAAACATATTTATAAAATGCTGGATTTCCTATTTCAAGCTTATAAAATGTATAATATAATCTCCCCATACCACCTCACACTCGGGAATAAACAGATAATACTGCAAACTTGTTTCACTTTGCAAATGAAGATGAAGAGATGATGAATATGATCAAAATAACCTCTGATAATTTTTTGTGATGGACTCAGATTACTTGATGGTGCTTTATTCTTCCCTGAATTAGCATTCTTATTTTCAGAAAAGAAAAGAACCATTGGAACTAAGAAATAAAAAGGAAATAATTAAGCAACTCGAAAAGGAAAAAATAAAAGAAAAATTATGTGATACCAAAAAAAATTGGATTATTCCTGAACTTTTAGCCATGTAAATTTCCAGATTTCTCAGTAACCTTTTTATCTCTTCCTTGGAAATTCAAATTAGGTATAGGTTTGTGATCTCCATGAGGATCCCCAATGTCAACTAGATAAGCATCGAATTCAAGTGTTTCACCGGATCTGATGACATCCTCTTTCTTCACAAACCTGCTTTCTAAATAGTTTTTCACAATCATCATATAGCAGGACCTGCGTAAAGAATTCGAAAAAAGAATTATGAAAAAAACCACAGAAAACTACCACGGCATACAATATTAAATATCAAATGTGATATTTTCTGTATGATTGAACTTTACAAAATTTAGTTCAAAAAATATATATATTCAAAACCAATCAACTCCAAGCATAGAAGAATACAAACGAAAAACAAAAAGGAGAAATGAAAACACAATAATAATGTAGGGTTAAAAATTGAGGATACCTCCTATAAGAATATAAGAATAAAGATTTAACGTTTTTGATAAGAGTGAGTTTTGAACTTGATCTCCCAGTCTTTGTTTCCTGTAAAACAAATAAATTGCTAAAGATCGAAATACTTCGATCGAAAACATTCCGATGTTTAAGTCAGTAATGGAACTGAGACAATTGCAAGAAGACAAGGAAAGTTCAGTCTACCTTTCACCTTAGTTTCTTTTGCTTTTTATAGATGATTATCCCATTAGGGTTTCTGTGATTTTTGATTCAATGTGACACACCTTCCTTCAATTCTGCAATTCAGTTTGGGATGTTGCTGATATTTCTCCAACAATTCCTCTTGACATTTGTAATTCCGTTGATTCGTTCATTCAAAATGCTTAAGTTATAGGCAAGTCTCTATCTTTTCACGTACTATTGCACACAACTCGGTCATTTCAAGTACCGAACTCCTTCTTTGTTTGTCGAGCACATCAATCAGCTCGGTCTGGTAAGAGCTGAACTCTTGGTAGGAGTCGGACGCTTTAATCAGCTCGGTCATAATGAGAACCGAACTCTTTTTTTCTTTGCCGAACCTTTTGATTAGTACGACTCGATTTATAAGGCTGAGTGAATGATTTCCTCGTCATGTGACTTGTCTTGTCAACCTCACGTGAGCTCATTTAATGCTATAACACGTGTAATAATGGGAACCAACCCACTTCATTTGCCCCTAGAAAAAGTCTGACAGAAGCTTTTCGTCTATCAGCCGTTTTATGCCTTTTCATCATCATTGCGCGTACATCCCTTTTTTGTTTTGGTGGTATGCATTGTATTTAAATAACCTCTGGGAATTTTTCTTCTTTATAAACGTTCTCTCTCCATCTTTTTTTTTACTTTTCTTTCCTGCTCACAGACTCATCTTTTCCACTACATTTTCTCTCCTTTTACATTTCATCCTTTTCAATGGCTCCTCTACTACCTTCTAAGATTCTAGTTTTCAAAGCAAAATATAACATTCCAGACGACGTCGAGGTACAGGTTGCTAGAAAAGATGAGCCATTGATAGGCACGAGGGAGAGGATTCCCATCCCAACTTGAGCCATTACAGAGGGTGGTGTTCGATTCCCTCTCAATCCTCTCCTTTTGTGGGTTCTTTCTGCCACTAAACTTTGCCCCCTGCAATGCTGTCCCAATTTTTTCAGGACTGTGATGGGAGTTGCTGCCTTAAACAGGTTGCTAAACCTAAGTCTAGGCCTCTGGGAAATCTTGTATTGCTATATCATCAAGCCAGCCGGTGATAACTACTACCTTGCCGTTAGGAAGAAGAAAAGGTATTTTTTAAACCATTTGCCAGACTCGAATAAGGGTCATGAGAACGACGTGGTCTTCATTTCTAGCAATTGGGAATACGCTGTTGATGCTACACCTTCCTACCGCTGTCCTTATGAAGAAGGTGCTCCAGGTATTTGAATCTTTTACTCTTCTAATTTGACTTTTGCTTGCATTTTTTTTTTTTGTATTTTTTGACCTAAGCCATCTTTTGTGTGTAGGCGAGACTGTCAAAGGCAAGATTCCTGACTCCTCGGTAAAAATGGATGAACTGCAAAAGGTTTAGGATTTCAATGAGACCTTGTTCTACCAAGTTACCTATACACTGCTAGGTTACACACCTTCTTATAAACGCCCCGAGCAAGGAAGAAGTCTTTCCTTGCAGCTTCTGGACACAGGACAATGAGAAATTTCTTGGACTTTTTGTTGACGGTTGAGCCGACCCCACCCATTGGTCTGATTCCAACAACTTCTAGACCTCCGATCAATGTTCTCAAAGAGCAAACTGTTGAAGCCCTTCCCGAGGTGATTCTTCCTGAAGCCAATGATGCAGGTCTGCCCCTAGGTGACCCAGCTGGTTTGGCTCCAACCGCTGAAACTTTTGTTCCAATTAAGATAGATCCTCCAGAATTTGTCCATTCCCCTTTTCAAGAAGATGATTCAATCTTTGAGCTTACTGAAGACCTTGCCCCTAACAGGCGAAGAGTTGCCGAGTTCGAGGCGAGCCTTTCTCCCAAACCAGTCACTCTTCTTTACCGTTCTGTCCTTAGGGCAAAAAGGAGAGAGATTACTGCAAAGGACTCGGCCATTGAAGATTTTAATGTAGTAATGGGGATTGCTAGGGGAGTCATCTTGCCCCGGGACCTAGCAATGAACGAGACTCTTACCGATGACGAAATGTCTTGTCAGGCCATTCAACACATGGTCCTGGTGAGATTTGTTCTTTTGAAATTTCCTTCTTCAAGATTTTTCTTAAGAATTTTTCTAAGTCAATTCTCTTCTTTTTCAACTAAGGGTCTGCAAAAAGTTCATGAGGTCGGGGCTAGGATAGCTAGAAAAGATAAGGTTATGAAGAATGCTATCCATGCCCGAGCTTCAGCCCTGGCAAAGAAAGAGAGTGTGGATGAGGAGTATGCCAAACTCTATGAAGAAGTGAAGGTTTTGCAGGCTCAAAACCAAAGCCTGACCGAGGAGATCCAAAAGCTTTCTTCAGAGGTTGAAAAGTTGAAGGAGTCCAAACATGAGACCAACGTTGAGCTTCACAATCCTAACTCGACTATTCCACTCTCCCTAAGGAATTTGATCAGTATAAGTCTGAAGTAAAAGAGAAAGAAGACGCCGCTTATGATGGAGTCGAGAAAGCGAAAAATGACCTTGCCCTTCAGATTCCTTAGCTCCAAGAAGCGTACTTTAGTCAGGGCTGGCATGCTGCCCTAACTGCTGCAGGGGTTCTAGCTTCTTTTGAGCTCTTTTCGTGGCATTCCCTTAAGAGATCTTCCTTTTTGCAACTTCTGATGTAATCGTTTAATGACCTCTGTAATTTCTTTTTTTGAAGTGTGAATGCAAAACACATTTTGACCTTTCTATTTCTGTAATTTACTATATGCCTGAAAAAAAAATTAACTTTCAAAGTATAAATCCTTCTACTAGGCCCTTCTTTAGAGAGCTCGATGCCTCAACAAAGACCTTTTACACTTAAAAAATTTCGATAACTCTTGAAGTTATGACCCCACTCGGCCTTTCTTCTAAGAGATTTATCCCTCAATAGGGACCTTTTATACTTAGAAAACTTTTGATAACTCTTGAAGTTATGGCCCTACTTGGCTCTTCTTCATAGAGCTTGGTCCCTCAACAGTGACCTTTTACACAAATTTTTTTTGATTTTGATAACTCCTAAAGTTATGGCCCTGCTCGGCCCTTCTTCAAAGAGCTCAATCCCGTAATAGAGATGTTTAACACTTAGAAAAGTTTTAATAACTCTTGAAGTTATGGCCCTGCTCGGCCCTTCTTCAAAGAGCTCGGTCCCTCAACAGGGACCTTTTATACTTAGAAAAATTTTGATAACTCTTGAAGTTATGGCCCTGCTCAGCCCTACTTCAAAGAGCTTGGTCCCCCAACAAGGACCTTTTACACTTAGAAAAATTTTGATAACTCTTGAAGCCTTGCTCAGCCCTTCTTCAAAGAGCTCAATCCCGTAATAGAGATGTTTAACACTTAGAAAAGTTTTAATAACTCTTGAAGTTATGGCCCTGCTCGGCCCTTCTTCAAAGAGCTCGGTCCCTCAACAGGGACCTTTTATACTTAGAAAAATTTTGATAACTCTTGAAGTTATGGCCCTGCTCAGCCCTACTTCAAAGAGCTTGGTCCCCCAACAAGGACCTTTTACACTTAGAAAAATTTTGATAACTCTTGAAGCCTTGCTCAGCCCTTCTTTAAAGAGCTCGGTCCCTCAACAGGGACCTTTTACACTTAGAAAAATTTTGATAACTCTTGAAGTTATGGCCCTACTCAGCCCTTCTTCAAAAAGCTCGGTCCCTCATCAAGGACCTTTTACACTTAGAAAATTTTTGATAACTCTTGAAGTTATGGCCCTGTTTGACCCTTCTTTAAAGAGCTCGGTCTTCCAGTAGAGTTACTCTTAGTCCCCGTCAAGATCTAAAAGAGTTTTTACTCTGCACCGATTCGCCAATCTAATTGGACTCGAATCCATCCCTGATCAGCTTACATCGTTATGTCTAGATGAAGGCCTGAATTAGATCAGGTGGCTGCGCCTGATTTAAGTTTACAACTTCTATCAGTATTTTTTGACTCTCTGCCTTAACAGTAGGACAAGTAGGGAAATGTTTTTATTAAACTCTTCAGTTTGGTACATTTGGTAATCATCTATCAACTCTTAAGGGGCACCCTTAAGTTTCCGAAGGTACTTCGGAGCCTTATCTAAAAATGTACTTTTTAGAAATAGAACTTTCTAAGGTTAGCGGTGTTCCAAGGGCATGGCACTGCCTTTTGGTCCAGGGTCTCCAGCTCGCAATACCTGCTACCCCCTATTTGGGGCTATTCTGTATGGACCTTCCCAGTTTGCTCAAAGATTTCCATGAGTTAGGTTTTTAGTCGATCCCAGTACTCGTATGAGGACTAGGTTTTCAAGGGTGAAAGACCGAGGGTTCACTTTCTTGTTATAAGCTTGAATCATTTGATGCCGGTAAGAGGCCGTTCTTATAGCTGCTTGTTCTCTTTTTTCCTCTACAAGATCAAGATCTTGGTGATAACGTCATCGTTACTGTTACTTTCAACCAGCTCAATTCTCAGGGTCGGTAAGTCGATCTCCAATGGAATTACAGCTTCCATCCCGTAAGCGAGGGCGAAGGGGGTTTCTTGAGTTGACCGCCGAGGTGTGGTTCAGTACGTCCACAGAACACTTGGTAACTCGTCTACCTATTTCCCTTTAGCATTC